GAGGTGAAATCAGCTTCCTACAGGGCACCTCTGCTTGGAGTTCTGTGCCAATGTGTATATGACTGCCCAGTGCCCATGATCACCATGGTTCTTTGGTTTTTCTAAAAGAAAAAACAATCTGTCTAGAATGTGTATTAATATTTGCCACCTCTGGTGACTGACTAGCAATGATGGCATTACAGGATTTAAGGCTGGTTATCACAAGCTCTGTGGAAAAAGGGGATTAAGTGTGGAGAGTCTCTACTTTGGTGTCTGCTTACATTTCCCTCTTCAATGAGATCTTTCCTTGACAGGCCATCTACAGTGGAATCCTGGGCTGTTTTTGTTTTTGTTTTTGTTTTTGTTTTTGTTTTCTTTTTCTTTGTACAAGAGGTAATGAATTAAGTTTTTTTATTGTCAGGAGGTTTTTTTTGTTTGTTTGCTTGCTTGCTTGCTTGCTTGCTTTGCTTTGGTCTTTTGAGACAGGGTCTCAATATATAGCCCTTGCTAGCCTGGAACTCACAATGTAGGCCAGGCTGGTCTTGAACCAACAGTGCTTTCTCTGCTTCTGTCTCCCAAGTGCTGGGATTATGACTAGGGCTACAGGAGTATACCATCATACCTGATCTTGTTTTGTGTTTCTGAGACAGGGTTTTGTGTCGTAGCCCAGGCTGGTCTGGAGCTCACTATGTGGGCCTTGAACTTGTGACAATCCACAATCCTCCTCCTTCAACCTCCAGAGTTCTGGGATCATGGGCATGAACCACCATGCCTGGCTCTTCATCTTATAACTGTCTTTTCATCTATCTCTGTTCACCAGTATATTCTCAACATGTAGCTAGCCACTTGATACAGAAGCAATACTTACTAAACCTTTAATGAAAGAAGTACTGTCTTTAAGCAACCCTGGCCATGAGGAAAGTGGGTAGCATCTGAAACAAAAGACAACAGGATGGATGCCAGCTGCCCTTGCACCAGAGATACAATCTGTCTGACTTCCTGAGCTACATGGGCTTTTCTCAACCCTGTTACCTTCCAGGTGGGAGAGGCTGAGCAGATGAAGTTTCATTGTGATCAGCTAACATCCAAAGAGAATACCAAGCACTGTGCCAAGGGCTTTATTTACATACACTGTCATCCAACCTGCACAGCAAGTACCCTATGAAATAAGCATACTCATCCTATTTTCCATATAAGGAAATATACTCGGAGGGTATACGGATGTATGTTACATAACGAACAAGAGGTGGCAATATCAAAACTTAGCCCTGGGCCCATAGGACCTTAAATATGGCACAGATTGCTTTCCTTTGGACACAGAAATGTGGGGCAAGAGATCACCATGCAAGTACCTATTACAAACCTGCTTAGCCTCTTGTCCCAGATTACATTTGGTTTCTATGGGCAGTTGAGGCTTTTCATCTCTGCCTGTGTCCTAACCCACTAAATCTCAGCCTCCATGTCAATTACCTTATTCTTAGATTATAGAAAGAACTATAATGCCCATAATGTACACAAGCCTGGACCAGGTATAGACAGTTTCTTACCCTCAGCAAGGCCTGGCAGGGTCTGGTTAGACAATTCAACAGGGAGTAATGCTCTGCCTTCCAAGTCAGTGAGGTTTTTATTTATACTTTGGAATTCAACTGAAGGATAACTGAAGTGAGATTATTTTCCCTCCTCAATTTTAGTGACTCCTAATGTCAATCTTCTTTGCCCTTTAGTTTTAAAACTGCTGTACAAGTAGTCTGGCAGGCAGTTTGAATATAATCAGCAACCCCAGAAAAAAAAAAGCATAGGTATCTTTCCTCTGAACCTAAATAGTACAAATGTTTACTAAATTTTGCAATCCCAAAAGTTAAAAATTCAGATCCAATAATTTATCTGTACTGCAGATTTATTTACTAGGTAGAATGCTAAACGTGTATAATGTTCAATATTGCAAATTGCATTCTAAGCTAAAGTGTTCTGCAGTGCTAAGGATTGAATTCATGGCTTTGGACTCAGAGTCTTGAATGTGCTAGGCAACCTCTTGAAGACTGAGCTACATCCTCAGCTCATCACTTATTCAATTCTTCATTTAAATACACATACTGAAGGTCCCAGTGACAGAGACGAAATCACGATAAACAAGTTGACTCCAGAAGGTTTATAGTCTAGTTCTAATTCTTCATAACAAGACCTAGACATAACAAGACCTTTTGATCTTTAGTTTAATGCTAACAACAATATATTGGTTCTTTTCTTCAACTGGACTTATACACCAGCCTCCCAACAGGAAAGACATGCTTTTCTTCCTTCTTGTCACTGGTGATAGTTTCATAGCAGTCCTTGTACTTATTGGCCAGAGCATACAGAAAAAAGTACAGAGAACACAAACAATGACTATCCCTCTCATTTTGTCTCTCCCTTCCTTGTCCTAGCCCAACTGTAGAGGTGAAAGAATTGAAGCAACCTAGTCGGACTTCCATATCTGAATGTGGGTTAACATGGAAACCTGTGGCCTAGAAATCCACTGATCTTCTGCACCTCCCAAAGTGCTGGAATTACAGCTGGCTATCCACTACCACAGCCAGCTTTGTTTTAAGCTTTTCAATAGGAAAAAATAGTGCTTCATTTTAAAAGTCCTACAGTATCTGCTTTAATAGTGTGCTCTAAAGTCAAATGAAGTTCAACTGAGATGAGTTTATTTTTTTCTTCTTTTTCTACATACCAGACAAAGAAATCCTGAGCAAGATCAAGCAATTTACTTCAATTTAGAAAACATTTATTGAAAAGGACCAGGTTAGGTTCTCTAAATAGAAGAAAATGAAGCAATATACTAATGAGACAATAGCACGATGCAAAAAATGACTATAAAGTAAAAGTTTGATGGTTATTTCAATGGGGGAGGCATTTACAGCTGATTGAGGAGGGATATTTGAGTAGTTCTTGGTACGAGGGGGCATTTTCATTTTTTAGTATATTTTAAATTCACAAATAATAATTGTATCCATTTATGGGCTATAATGTGATGCTTTGACCTATGTACACATTGTGAAATAATTGAACAAAGCTAATTAATTCATTACCTCAATATTTTTTTGTACACTGAAAATATGTTAACTATATACCCATTAGCAATTTTGAAGTATGCAATGTATTATTTATTATAGTCACTACTCATTCCAAGAAATCACTAAAGCTTAATTCTCTTGTCTAATTGAAAATTTGTATGATTTGATGAACATCTCTCTTTTTCACAATAACCTCTTCCCCATCCTCCAGTGACTGTCATTCCATTCTCTGTGATTCTGAGTTTCTTAGGTTCTTCATGCAAATGGGATCATGTATTATTTGTCCTGATTTCACTTAGCATATGTCCTCCACGTTTATCTGTGCTTGTCATAAATGACAGGACTCTCAATTTTAAGGCAGAATAGTATTGCATTGTGAATACTGTTGTGACACTTTCTTTATCCATTTGTCTCAGATGACCACATGGGCTAATTCTACCCATGTTTTGGCTATTGTGAATATTCCAGCACTGGAATGGGAGTGGGGACACTGTTTTGGCATACTGATTTCAGTTCCTTTGGATAGACAGCCAGAACTGGAATTTGTCCTCTTTTCTCTTCTCTTTTCTCTCCCCTCCCCTCCCCTCCTCTCTTCTCTTCTTTCTCCTCTTCTCCTCTCTCTGCTTTCTTCTTCCTTTCTTTTTTTGTTTTTGTTTTGAGACAGGGTCTCACTGTATAGACCTGGCTGGCCTGGAACTTGCTACATAGACCAGACTGGCCTCAGACTCACAGACATCTGCTTGCCTCTGTCTCCTGAGTTCTAGGATTAAAGGAACGGCTACCACGCCCTGCTAGAACTACAATTTCTAAATCACATTTTATTTTCACTTTTTGAGGAATCCCCATACCATTTCCCATCATGGCAGGACAACCACATTCCCACCATCAGTGCACAAGGGTTTCCTTTTTCCCACCTTGCCACTGCTTGTTACCACTCATCTTGTTGAAAATACTCATTCTGACAGGACTGAGGTTATATCACCTGTCGTTTTACCTTACAGTTCCCTGAAGATCAATGATGATCAATATTTTCCACACCCACCTGTTGTCTACTTGTAGGTCTTATTTTTAGAAATGTCTATTTAGATCCTTTATCTTTGGATTAGGCTATATCTTTCCTATGAGTTTTCTGAGATAGAAGGTGGTGTTTAATATCATTTTACCTAAGATTTTCTGTGGACTATGACCTTGAAAGAGGCACTTACAGTTGGCTCAGGCTCCACTGGTGTCTGCTTTGAGGTTAATTTTCTCCTGCTCTCACTCTCACACCTCCTTTGCAAAAGGAATAAACTAATATATGGGAAAATCCTTTCTTTTTAAATGTAAAATGTATATTTGCACAACTGCATGAATCACAAAATATTATATTCAAAGTAAGGACCAAAGCTTGCAAGATTTTAAAAAGGTAACTAATTTAAAAGAAGAGTTGGAAAGGGGCCACAAAAGAAGAGGGAAGGCCCGAATGTGTGCGTTTCCAGTTTACTTCAGTCATGGTACTATAAACAGATCAGTCCAAAAGAGTTTGTTTTATTTATTTAATCACACTCTCTCCAAAACTTTTGCATGCAAGTGCAGAAATAAAGGTATTTATGAAGTCAGACTTGTAATTGCCAGAAAGTAATAACGGATGCCAGCTTGGTCTCTGCTACCTATGTAAGTCCTAAGGGGAAGATGAGCTCATGAATGAATGCATGTATATATAGATCATTACAAGGCTGAATTAAAATATATTAAATATGGAAGTCGGATATAAATCCGAGACTTATTCAACATAAAAAGAATAGTAGGAACAACTTGAAGGTTTCAAAAGAAGAGGAGGACCTAAGGTGTTCACTGGTTGGGGAAAGTTACTAAGCAGCCTTGAAGAAAAGCACCTTCTATAAAGCCCCAGCACCTGGCTGATCTAAATGAATGCAAATTTAGGAGGAAGGATTTGCTTTATCCTTCTCTTTGTGCTCTTCACAGTCTCTGGACCCAAGAGTCTTCAGTAACTGGGACCTGAGCTGAGGCAGCTGAAATAAAGAGGCAAAGATCCTACATCATCTCCAGGAATCTTCATTAGAAGGTAAGTTTTGTTTATTTATCATTTGTTACATGGGCTAAATATTTAGCAAAGCATTTGCCACTGGTTAAACAATTGGACATTTTACATTCATTTTGGAGTAATGGTGTCTTCACTCATAGGAGGATCTACACAAGTGACAGACATTTTCTTTCCCACACACCCTTCAGGAGTTTCACACTCAGGAGTAGCAGCAAGTAAACCCGGAGTGTATTCATGGTGTGGCATCACCCCAGTATGGAGACCAAGAAGAAAAATATTAATGACCTTAATGTAGAAGCAATTCACAATTAAAAGGGAGAAATCTGACAGTTCATACAAAAGCACAAAGAACAGAATCAAAGTAGCAAGAACGGCAACGGGAGAGAAATCTGTAAAAATGTGTCGTTCACAAGCCAAAATGTACACAACAGATGAGGGAATATGCAGAAGTCAGGGAAATATCATTCTATAAATAATCCAAAATAGGGTGGGGGAAATGGCTTAGTAAGGACCTTAGTAAGGTCCTTGCCCCCAAGCCTGAAGGCCTGAGTTTCATCCCCAAGACACACATGTGGAAGGAGAACTGACTCCAGCAAGTTATCCTCTGATCCAGATACATGTTCCATGGCATGTACACCCCACCCCAATAAATAATGTAATAATTTTTTTTAATTCACAATGATTGATTGTGGCCTGGAGAGATGGCTCAGTGGTTAAGGCAAGTGACTACCCTTGCAGAGGACCCAGGTTCAATTCCTAGAACCCACATGGCAGGTAACAACTGTCCATAACTTCAGTTCCAGGGGATCCAACACCCTCTTCTGACCTCCATGGACGTTGCACACATGCAGGCAATATATATATATACACATAAAATAAAATTAAATTAAAATTTTTTTTAATTCAAAATGATTGAAAAGGAGATGTTGCCCCAAAATACAATGAGCCAGCACCATTTCTTTTAGTGGGGGAAATAGCAACTTTTAAAGACAATGAAGGTGAAGGAGAATCTCCAAAACATCATGGAATAATGGTGAATAACAGTGGAAAACATTTACAGTACAGAGGAACACACGTTAAGCTGTCAAGAATGTCTGTCCTGTTAGAATTATCATGAACAAAAAAGTAAGGAGGGCAAAATCTGAAAAGAGAGAATACTAGTTAGATATTTTTCCTCTTACTCTCAACCCTGAACTTAACCAGGCATTTCTATAGTCAGTAGAGATTGATTTGCCCATGAGTGGGTTCAGAACCACAATTTCATTGTAGCTAATTCTGAAGCAGAATCACAATACCTCAGACTTGAAAATCTGTATAATGCTATCTGAAAATCAAAGCCTCTGCTACTGCAAGATGACTTTTATTCTATGATAAAAACTTAAGTGCTGAATTATCCCCCTTCATGTAAACTCAGAGTCTCAATTATAACAGGAAGAAACAAATAGCACATTGCCTTTGAATTTGGAATTCCTTTAAGTACAAAGATTCATTAGCAAGAAAGATCCAGGCATAGATTTCAATAGCAAAGCAAACCATGACTTCATTTAAAAATATCAACTTTTTCTAACCATTTTTCCTCCAACAGTAAGGTGTGAAGAATTTAAATTTTGTCAGAGCTTTTTTTTTTTTCATATGAGAAACTATGATTTGGATCTTATGGTGGCAAAGCGGCAGTTACTTTCCTAACAATCAGGTTTTAGTTGTCTCATGCAGGTTTTGTCTGGTACAATCAGAGCCTCTTGTGTTTGCACATTATTGTCTGTTTCCATCAGTTGTGGGGTTTTTTTCATTGTTATTTGTGGGAGAACAGAATTATTAGCAGACTTTCCTTAAAGCTGAATGTATTCAATATTTATCTTTTTGTTAAAAGTTTTATTTATTTATTTTTATTCTATGAATGCTTTGCCTACATGTATGTATGTGTAATGCCCATAGAGGCCAGAAGAGGGCATTGGACCCCCTGGAACTGGGGTAATACGAATGGTTGTTAGCTGCTATTTAGATGTTGGGGACCAAACCCAGGTCCTCTGCAAGAACAGCCAGTGCTCTTAACCGCTAAACCATCTCTCCAGTCCCTCAATACCTAACCTTAAAAATATATATTTAAGTTTTGTTATTTATTTTTTGGTATTTTAACTACATGTTTTACTGACTTCACTTTTTAACTGTATTATCTTAAGTCAGTACATTTTTTTCTACAGACTTTCACATTGATAGGAACAATGGTGAAGCTTGCACATACTTTTGGAAATTGTTATATATGTATGCTTGTAGAGTTTATTGTTAAAATCAATATTAATCTCACATTTACCTTTTTGGCAATAATTCCCCCAACACATCCAGGTTTACTTTATGCCACATAAAAACAAGTGTTATCAGTCTTTGCCCTCAAGGAGATTACTGTTTTATCTGATGTAATTTACTACATATATTCTTTTATAGAAGAGCAATTTAGCTCTGAATGTTGTGAATAAACATTTCTGTTGTTGTTGTTTTCTGGTTTTTGATGTTTTGTTTTGTCTTATTTTGAGACTGGATCTGGCAAATAGCCATGGTTGGCCTAGAACTCTCATGTAGACGAGGATGGCTTCAAAACTCACAGAGATCTTCCAGTCTGTGCATCCAAAGGGCTGGGATCACAGACTTTCACTGCCATGTCCTATGTGAGGGAACGTTTTTGCCACAGTAGCGTTGAGGAAAATGGTTTTGTGTTCAGATGAATTTGCATTTGGTCCCTGTCTGCAGATAGTCAGAACTCAGGCCTGTACCTTTAGTCTTGATGCCATGGCCAGAATCAGGCCTTGCTTCTCTGTAGCTCTCTCTCTCTGGGACAGACAGTCAAGAAGCAGTCTGAACTGTAACTTGACAGCTCTCAGTTTATCTGCCTGGCTCTTTCATGCTCTTTGCTACCTATGCTATACTGAACTAAATCACATGATGTGAAACTTCCCGACACCTCTGAGAGGTTATCAAAAGTCAGACCTTTCCTTTGGTCTGTGGATTGGTCTGAGACTCCTCAGAGGGGCTGGGGGGTATTGGGGGGATAGCTCTGAAGACTGCTTTCTGAAGAGGCTCCTCTGGCCTCCTTCTGCCATGCATGTTACAATGTCTGTCTTTCTCACTCTCTCCCTATCTCTCTCTCTTATTCTCACTGCTAATAAAGCTCTTTTCCAGGCTTTGAAGGGAAGCCTCTCCTTCCCACTAGGGTCCCACCATGTTTAGATCTTCATATATTTATTTTCTGTCTAATGCTATCCTTCTTACCTTGAGGCACAGCTATGGCCTTGAGCTCTTTTCATGCTAATAAATCTCACTAAAAGGAATTGTCATCTTTCTTTCCAGACCAACTGCCACTTTCTTCCAGTACACATATTTAGTACTTTTGTGGAGATGTAAGTTTTAGCCTATAGATGCTTCATGACTGACAAATGTATGTAAAACACCAAACATAGAATAGTCCTAAATTATTTTTTCCTCCCCCATATATGTTATTCAAATGAAATGCTCAAGATTTGCATCACCCATCTGCATTGATTTTGATCTCTAATTTCTAAATTAAATCAGGTTCATAAGCACAGCCCGGATATAATTGGTTACAATTTCAGTGGTTGAATGTGGTAGAAATTCAGACCTGAGGTAGGAATGACAGAGCAGGAAACTTCAGGGCAAGACTGAAGCCCTGTACACTTCACACCTGTGTCAGCATCTAATTTTTGACAGGACACCCAGAGCTGGAGAGTTACCAAAAACACACCCAAAAGGTCTGGAAAGGAAGGAAATTAAGGAGAAGGAAGGGAGAGAGGGAAGACAAAGTAGTTAAGATAGGAACTAGCTGGGTATGGTGCTGCAGGCTCATACTCCCAGAACTCAGGAGGCTGAATCAGGAGGCTCTCCAGTGTGGATTCTTTATTTTTTCATGCCTTCTCCCTATAGAAACGGTCGGTGCCAAGTGCTGGGAGGATTTACAAGTACCTGGCTCATCTGGCTCCACATTAGTTATTTGGATTACACAGAAACCAGAATTCAAAGAAAGACAGAAATTCACCATTGCTCCAAATTTAAACAGACAAAGCAGAAAGAGGGGCAGGACAGGGAAGAAAATGCACAGGCATGTTGTTATAAAAATCTTAAAACTCTTAATTCCCATTTTATAGAGACATTTAATCATCGTAATGGTTCAGTGGCTAAGTAAGTAATGCTTACATGATTACAGACTTCGCCCCACCTTGGAAATCCTCCATGCCCTTTGGAAATGACTTAAAGTTTCATCATATCCCTTTAAGAAGAGATCAAATCAGCACCAAGTGCAAGTTTCAGGACCAGGGTCACATAGGCACTTGGTTGACTTTGAGTATGTCTCCTGAAAGCATTTTTGTGGTTGCTTCTAAAAGCTTCATGAAGAGTCTTAAGACTCAGGGATCCCAGAGATGTGGAAGAAAGAAATGGAATGCATCTTCAAGCTTCCACTGTGGTCTGAGCATCTGCAATGCTCACTCTTGTATTTTGATTTATTCTTCCATTTCCTCTGAATTTCTTTGGCATTTTTTGTGACTTTGTTTTGCTACTTCAAATGCATAAATTCACTAGACATTGACTTTTGCTTCTTTGGGCTCTAGAATCTACCACATGAATAAATTAAGCACCTAAATAGTGTCCTTTTTGGATTTTAAGATATAGATCATCCAGGAAACTGAGTAATTAAAATAATCAGTGATGACAATTATCAAATTATTTGATGAGCAGTTTTTTATTACAGGCATTTAAATTTCTACCATTAAGGTCAAGGATGATCTTTTTATTATGTATTTCTTTGGGGAATGTTGGCTTATTCTTCATTGTATTCTTGTTTGTTCAGTTGTAGGGGGGCACATATTTCTTGTAACACCATTGTCCAGTGTTGAAATCAGCATATAGCCATTTTCAGTTAAGTTTATATTGCATAAAGTTTGAGAGGCATCATGATCAATTATATGAAGTAATTGAACCTCATAAATTATTCATCTATGCCAGATGTGGTGGCTC